AAAATTTAAATCCAACAGTACGATACATCATCTTGAAAATTAGGAAAACATATATAATAAACAAGATAATGGTAATTATAAGTAATGAATCAAACATTTTTTTTTTTTAAAACAATATATTTTGAGTGTTTGTATTATGAAAATGAATTGTAGTGTTATATATAGATATTGGTAAATAGCCGTTGCAATATAGCCGTTAAGTAGCCGTTGGAACCAAATTTAATGATATAATATTTGCTAATTAATCATTTATGATCATAAAATTCTAATTAATCATGTATATTACCTTAAAGATTTTTCCGAATTATTTGATGAACATTTTCGCGAATATAACAAAGCAAGTAAAAAAATGTTCCACATTATTGGATAAATTTTACGGTAAGTACAAGAATAAACAGTTATAAATTTCACGCCACATTACTGAGTAAACCATTTTTATGGGTGTTAAGTATAAATAATAACATTTATTACAACTTGAAAAATAATTCATAAGCAAATATCATATCACCACATATTATTGGATATGGCATAGCCTAATTTGCCAATAATAATGGTAATGTGTATATAATATTATATTTAGTATACATATCTTGACTGTGGCAGAGCCTAACTTGTCAAGAATAATAGTAATATATATATATATTTTTGACTGTGGCAGAGCCTAACTTGTCAAAAATAATAGCAATATGTATATATATCCTTGACTGTGGCAGAGCCTAACTTGTCAAGAATAATGGTAATATGTATATATATCCTACCTTTCTTGACCGGGTAGAGCGTTCGTGCTGATAACGTGTTATGAAATACGGGGAATATAAAGAACACAACGTAAAAACCGGATCAAAATTATTACAAGCTTTTCTCTCTTCCTTTCTCCTTCTTTTTCGTACATCACTTTGTAATATATCACTTGCCTTTTATAGGCTAAGTTTGGCACACAGTTTAAGACACTTTAATATAATAATATAAATGACTAGTGGTAGATTCCACTATTTACAATAAAACTATTGTTTTTAAGATTAATACTGTTTTTTGAACAATGTGTAGTATATTGCATCTGAACACAAACATATATGGTAATGCAGAATGAGCCATCAACTTTTTTTTTTTTTAAAACTTTTTTAATTGATAAAAATGTAATGCTTTTAAAATTTTTCATTTTGTAAATAAGTGTTCGGTTATAGTTATGGGGCTAGTTCTACGGAGTGATCTTGGCTCAATTGGTACCGCGGCCTAGGGACATAGGCGAGCGGGTGGTACAACGTGGTTTTGGTAGCATCATTGAAAGCATTGGAAGCCCCAGGGGCGCCATAGTCTAGGAGCCCCAACCATTTGAGCCACTAACCCCTTCTATAGCGCTATAGAGTCAAGGTTCTCCTCCGATTCTGCAAAGTCCGATGCCTGTCTTTCTAGCTGATCAAAGACAGCAGAAGTTGCATCTCGCATTATCTCTACGAGATTCTTCGGTTCGGGCCGAAGAAGGAGTATCGATATAATGTCTCTCCACAAATCAAAAATCTAGCAGCTAACTGTCTCAATGTCCTCTTATCCTTCTTTGTCGTTGCCTCTAGATAAAGACCCAATCTGAGAAAATGGTAAATATCGTGATACCAGGGTAGATCATCTATAGCCTCAAGCTCTCCTATCAAACAACAATAAGCATGGATAAAAGTCTTAATCTACTTGGATTACTCCGAACCTCTAGAATTTGACAAATAGGATTATGTAGCTCCAGAAATCGACTCATTGGATTAGGAAGCACCGAAAGTCCATTACATAGGCTCGGAAAACTGTGCATTTATTTATGGGGAGAGATTTCTTGTATTCGAATAAGTTTCGTTTAATAGTAGTATATACTTTGCAGAAAAGGCAAAGTTACCTCATGATAAGCATTTTTGTAGGTAGCTTCTTCGAAAAAGCCCATTGAAGTTAATGACGACTTATCAATTTATTTTACCAAATACTTGAATAACGCTAACTTTTCAACACCAGCCCATTGAACAACAATATTTACCAAGCTTTCTATAACAAAACTTGAATGGACTGTAGAAACACACGATCCCCTTTACTCTCACTACATTTCATGCACCCAATAATATAACTAACAAAAATGTATTACCACATGACAAACTTTAAATGTAAAACTTCAAGATCGATTTGCCATACACATCTCAATCTTATATTGTCACACTTAAGTCTTAACTATAACAAAGAAAAAAGCTAACAATTGAGCCCTTCAATTCAAAACATAAACTTAAGCTAATAAGAAAGTCCGCCAAAACACGAACAAATAAAACGCGATAAGATGCGCGCAAATTCGATCGCGCGTCAATATTAATATTCATCAACACCTCCACGGCCCTTGATTATTCTGTCGAACTTGATGATGATCGTGTTGATCGAACGGCTCAGACCCCATCTGCGCCAGAGCCGCCATATTCAGAAAATCCCTCGTCAATCCCTTCCCCGACTCAAAAATCTCGTTAAACCCGTATCCGAACCCAAGAACCGACCCGCTGAACCCCAACCCACCGTTCGCTGACGTCATACCCACGTCATCATGCATGCTGCCCGAGTTCCCGAGCACGTGCCCGAATTCGTTTTCGGGCAGCAGGCCAACCGGGCCCACTCGGCTCATCCGAGCCGACACGAGGGAATTAGATGGCGATGAGAACGGAAATGGAATGGTGCCGTTAGCGTTTGTAGGGTTTTGGTGAAATGACGGTTCTACCCTTGGCGGGTCGGGGGATAGCCACAAGGGGAGGCTTTCTTGTTTGAGATGGTGACGAGGGAAATTGTTGAAGTTTATGTTTTGTTGTGAAAATTGGGTGGTGGTGGTGGTGGTGGTGGTGGTAGTGGTAGGGACTGTTTGGATGGGAAAGAAAAGTGGGTTGTCTTGTGTTGTTGGTTTTGAGGTATCATGGGCAAGGGCATCACAGAAGGCCCTGTGGGTGATGAAGCTATCCCGCCTGTGGGAATTTGGAAAACAAGGAGAAACAAACAAGTCATAAGTCAGGTTTAAAACCGTCATAATTTTGTTAGCATATATACATAATTTCAAGACGAAATATGATAGTCTATAAAAATAATATAAATAATAAAAGTAAAAAAGCATGAAAATTTGTAACATAAATTAGCATGTTTTATATATTATGGGGAGATCAGGAGATGTTATAGTCGCGTTACGGAATCATTTGCGTCGGAGTTTGTAGCCGTTAGATCATCATGTAACCGTCGGGAATAGATGATCTAACGGTTAAAAACCCACGGAATGATACCGTAACGAGACCGTAGCATTTCCCCGTGTTATGATAGTTAGTGTACTACCTCACACAAGAATTTTTGTGGCATATGCATGTTAATATATTTT